TCTGAGACCCCCAGTGCTGCTGGTGGGATGAAGCTGGAGCTGCCAGAGATGGGCAAGAACATGGAATGGTTTGGGTTGGAAGGGACTTTAAAGCTCATCCGGTGCCACCCCCTGCCAGGGGCAGGGACACCTTCCACTATCCCAGGTTGCTCCCAGCTCCGTCCAACCTGGCCTTGGACACTCCCAGAACGCAGGACAGGTTTTTGATATTCTTCTCTCTAGATTCAACCTTAGAGAGGCTGAATAAGACCCTGTTCTGTGGGGAATGTGGGCAGGAATTGCCACCGTGGAGAGGCTCCTCAGGGATATCTCTGGGTGGTGTCACTGCTGTGTCTCCTGTCCAGGTCGCAGACAGTGACGATGACAATGACCCTTCTGAGTTCCTGGGTCAGACAGAAGAGTTCAATCCCCAGGGGCTCCAGCTCAACAGGGTGGACGTCACCACGTACGGGGAGCTGAACCTCATTGCTGAGCCCCAGAAGGTGAGCACTGGGAGGGCACTGGGGGCTGCTCCCAACACTCAGAAAATTTTGAATTTCTAAAAATTAAAAGCTGTTTAAATTAAAAAATTAAAAGTTAAAATTAGAAGTTTCTTAAAATTAAAAGAATTTTAACTAGAATCTAGTTGATTCTGTGATTCTGTCAAAGTTTCTTAAAATTGAAAGTTTCTTAAAATTAAATATTTCTTAAAATTAAACATTTCTTGAAAGTTGTCTCAGGATTAGAGATTCCGAGACAGCTTTCCCTGGTGCAGGATCTCTTGGGTTTGCTGCTGGATACTTTATTCCCAGCTGATCCTTCATGTAAGAGGAGGGAATTAAACACCAAAGGCCATTCCCAAGGGAACCATGCCTTGGTTATCCCTGTGATCCCAATGATCTCCACTTACCCTGCCTGTCCTTCCCTCAGATCAATAAAATTGAAATTCAATATGCAAAGACTGCCAAGAAAATGGACATGAGGAGGCTGAAGGAAAACATGTGGCAGCTGTTGACTGATGGGCAGAAGAAAGGGACAGTGGGAGAGGTGAGTGCAGGAGGAGCTGGATTCCTCAGGAAGTGTCCTGAGGGAATTGTGCAGGTTTATCAGGACTCCCTTTCTTGTTCCCATGGGTTGGTGATAAAGACAGACCAAGTGTGACTTGCAGGGGATTGTATCTGGATTTTGGGGAGCAAAATTTGTCTCTGATTTTTGCTGAGTAGGTAGAAGATGCTGAGAAAGAGAAGGACGCCTCAGTGGTGGCAGGAGAGAAGAAGCTGAGCAACATCACAGAGGACCTGCTGCACAGGTAGAGACTCTAAACCAGGTTGGACTGAAGATAGGACAGACTTTAGTGAAGTTTGGGCAAGAACAGCCCCCTCTGTGTCTGTCACAGCCCTTCTCTTGCTCTAGGTTTTCCTGGGGGAGCTGTGGGTTCATCCAGCTCAGCAGCAGAAGGGGAAAGTGGAAAAAAGCAGATCCCTAGGGAGAAGCTGATCTCTGTGCTCTGTCCATCCTAATCTTGGTCTCCCTTCCCTTCCATAGGCTTCCTGCTGCCATGGCAAGCAACCTATCTGTGCCCTTGGCCTTCATGTGCCTCCTGCACTTGGCAAATGAGAAGGTGAGTGCACACCTGGGGCAGGGCCACTTCCTGAATCAGGACTTCTGGACTTTTCCCATGCCCACAGTGGACACTGATGGGCTGGGAACACCAGCATTCCCAGCTGGTTGCTCTCAGTCCTTCCCTGTCCTTGGGTCTGGCAGCGCTTTGCTCCTCAGAGTTGTTCCAAGTGTTGTGAGTGTTCCAGGTTCCCAGTCATGGAATAGAATCCCAGAATTACTGAGGTTGGAAAAGACCTCCAAGATCAGAGTCCAGTCTTTGACTGATCTCCACCATCCCAACCAGCCCAGAGCACTGAGTGCTACCACCAAGTGAGGTGTTCCTTTGACACCTCCAGGGATGGAGACTCCACCACCTCCCTGGGCAGCCCCTTCCAATGCCTGACAACCTGTTCCACAGAAAAATTTCAACCTGAACCTCCCCTGGCACAGCTTGAGGCCTTGTCCTCCTGTCCCTTGTTCCCTGGAGAAGAGTCCAACCCCAAAAAGCAACAGCCCTGGCCTTGCTGAGGCGGGGCTGGAGTTGTTCTGAACCTTCATCCTGTGGGGGTTTTATGCCTTCAGACTCTGAGGGGAACAGTCTGGCTTTGTCAAACTCAGCTTTCCCTTTGTATTCCCAGAATCTGAAGCTGGAGGGCACAGAGGACATGTCTGATGTCCTGGTGACACAAGACAACTGAGCCACATGTGGAGCAGCCCCCTGGAATGACCCTAGGCCGGAGCTCAGTGTCCCAGCTCTGGACTCTCATCAGTGGCAGATGTTTCTCCTCCCAGCTGAGAAATCCCACTGGTCTCTGCACCTCAGGAAGGCTTTTAAGTCAGGGATGTCCCACTTGACCACAGGACCTGCACAGACGGTTGTGGCTCAGCTGATCCATCAGCTTTTCCTGGAATGGGTAGTGGAGTTCCTCCATTTCACTGTGAACCACCAGTGCCTACAGCAACAGGCTCTTCTGTGTGTGTCCCAAAAGGTTCCTCTGTCTGTTATTCTCAGTTTTTGGACTGACTGTTACTCCTATCTCCAGTTCCTCCCACAGTCCTGTTCACCCCATGAAAGGATTTACCTTTTACACTGTGTTTAAAGATAATAAATTGCTCCACACTGTGCAGATGGGCCTTTGAAGGAGTCTCCAAACCAGAAGGGGTTAAAATAACACAGGAGGGTTGGGGCAGCTCCCTAAAAAAGGGGGTCCAGGAGTCATTGGGATCATGTGGTTGGATCACCAGCCTCGACCCCTTCTCCAGTACCCAAACAATGGGAGCAGGACCAGCCTGGAGGTGGTGACCAGGGTCAACCAAGAGCTGAGATCACCAGGGATGTTCCTGGTGCTGAGGCCGGTCCAGAATCAAGCTGGGAAGTTGGTCTGGAGGTCGTGTTTGGGTCCAAGTTCCATGTGCCAGACGAGCTGGAGCTGCAGCTCCCTGCCAGCACCAAGGGCATCAACCCACAGGGGGAGGATTCATTCCAGCCCCAAAGCCCCGCCAAATCCCTGGAGATAAGGAACCCTCTCCCTGCAGCCAAAGTGATGCTGGTCCTGCCAGAGCTGCCAAATCTAGCACAGACCCAGCAGCTGGGCTTGCAGGTTTGGGCTATTTTCCCCTTCTCCTTTTCCATTTCCTTTTCCTCCACCTCTTCTTTCTCAGTTACCTTTTCCTCCTTCTACTTTTCCTATTCCTCCTTCTCCTTTTCCACATCCTTTTCCATTTCCTTTCCCTCCATCTCCTTCTCTGTTGTTTTTCCCTTTTCCTTCTTATCCTCCTCTTTTTCCTCCTCCTTTTTCCATTTCCTTTTCCTCTATCTCCTCCCTCTCCTTTTCCATTTTCTCTCCCTTCATCTCCTTCTCCTCTTCCTCCATCTCCTTTTTCTTTTCTTCCTTCTCCTTTTTCCTCTTTCTCCTTTTCCTCCTCTTTAGGGATGGCAGCTGGCTCAAGGTTCCCCCCCGGCTGAGCCCCAACACCTTTCATTGCACCGATGGCTCCTCTCACTCCTGACACCTTCCAACCCCAACAATTCCCCTTTTCCTCCAACACCTCTTCCAGGATTAAAACCTAAAATCCCCCTGGGGAAGAAGATTTACCTGGAGCTCCTGTTGGAGTGGAGCTCTGAGGGGGCTAGATCCCACCGAGGGGTGCTCAGCTCCCCTTGGTACCCTGAAATACGATGTATTCCTGAAATCCAGTGTAATCCTGAAATCCAATGTATTGCCAAAATCCAAGCCATCCCAGAGCTGACGGAAAGTCCCTGCAGGCTGGACCCTGATCGTGGGGAAACTGAGGCAGGGACAACCCTCAAATCCCCCTCCCCACATCTCTGGACACACCCCCTCCCATTCTGCCCGAATAAAAACCAGAGCCAGGAATAAAAACCCGAATAGGGTTTCTTTTTTTTTTTTATTTTACACATTTCTGTTAAATTCTGATATTTTTACATAGAGGGCGGGAGCCTTCCTGGAATGAGAGGGTTTAATGTCACCTCGGATCCTTCACCCCCTTCCTGGCCCCGGAGGAGGGGACAGGAGCCAAATCTTCCCCCTCCCCCAATTTCCCCCCCGCTTTTGCTTTCTCTGCTTTTTTGGCCCAAAATGAGTCACCGGGGGATTTTTTTTCTCTCATTTTTCGGGACTCTTTCACAAGCCGAAAGAGGGGAGGGATTCTCGGGGGGCTGCAATGGGGCTGAGCACCCCTGGGTGCCCTCCAGCAGCCCCAGCTGGGGTTCCCAACGAGGGGACAAGGGACGACATCCCTGGAGGTGTCACCCACCGCCCGCGCGGTGCTGGGACCCCCCCCAGGAAGGGGACCAAAGTGGCCACGTCCACGTCCAGTGACCGCGACGCAGCCGTGTCCCCAAGCCCCGGGTGGCTCCGGGGGGGAGCCTGGGGCTGGAAAGTCCTGTCTAGTCATTCAGGGGGTGGCGCGGGGTGAGAGCCCCAAAAAGCGCGTCCGTTCCGGTAAGGAAAGAGTCAATGGCCCGCGCGGAGCCGCCTCAGCCCCGCACACGCCACTTCCCCGAGCGGGGCTGACTCATCCCCGCGCTCCGTCCCGCTCCCGATACCGGCTCCCACTGCTCCATGAGCCGCTCGACCTGAGCCCCTCCGTGAGTACCGGGGGTCCCGTAGGGGGTTGGGGGTCCCGGCATCCGCCACGAGCCACGTGTCACCCCGCCCCGCTGCCCGCTTCGCCCCATCCCGGCGGGGACCCCACGAACTCGGCTGGGAATCCCAGAATCCCAAACCCCATAGAAGTGGGGTGCGCCCCAACTACGCGGGGAGACCCCAACCTGTGCTCGCCCCCACCTGCCCCAAAGCCCCTTTTCCAGCCTCTCCCACCGCGCCGCGTGATGCCAGGGGTTCTTCTCCCGGTGCCCGCGGGATGGGAAGGGATGACTTCACCCCATTACTCACCCGCCGTCACGATTTGGCTCCGCTCCCGCGCTATTCCCGGCTCAGCCCCGTGCTCCAACAGGGAATTCGGGCCTGGACAGCACGAGTTCGGCTTAATGGGGGGATTTCGGGAAGGAGAGGGAGCCCCAAAAGCGCTCCGGGGGGTCGCAGGGGTTCGGAGTGCGGCGGGATTTGGGATGAGTTTGGCCGCCGCGAAAGAGCCGCCGAAGCGCCGTTAACTGTCATTTTAATCAAATTATTGAGTAATTAGAGTCACCTCCACCCCATAACTCCCCCGCTCAAGTAGGTTACAGATGGTTCCCGCCGGCAGGAGATGTTCATCTCCGAATCGGCCGTTTTTCGTCCCCAAACTCACGACGTCCCCGCCGGGGGTGGGGGGGGGAAATCGCGTCAGCGGTGCCGGGAACCGGCCGGGAACCGCCGAAATCGCGGGGAGCACGAGAAGGGGGACGTGTGAACATGTGTGAGCTTCACCTGTACTTGAACACGCGCGCACGCACGCACACACACAGAGGTGCCCACCAGCACCCACACATCACCTCCACGCAGAGGTGTGTCCCCTCAGGTGTGTCTCACTTGTAGCTCACCTGCACACACCTGTACTCACCTGTGCTCACATGCATGTTGGCACTTGTGTGCTCGTGTAAACACACCTGGGCACGTGTTCACTCTGACACGCGTGTATGTGCTCATCTGCACATGGGGACACACATTACGTACCCACCTGCACTCACCTGTGCCCACACGCACACACATATTGGCACTTCTATGCCCTCATAAACACACTCGGCCACGTGTGTTCACCCTGCATATGAGGACAGACACGTACCACTCACCTGTACTCATAGACACGTTGGCAGCTGTATGCACGTGTAAACACGCCTGGGCACGTGTGTTCACCCTGCACACGAGAACACACATATACACACCCACCCACGACCGCGCCGACGCTGCCGCTTCCGGACTACAAGTTCCATCACACCCCTCGCCGGGGACGGGGCCGACCCTCCCGACCGCCCAATAGGCGGAGGGGGCGAGTTGGTCCCACCCAATGGGGGCCGAGGGGGCGTGTTGGCCCCGCCCCTCGGGCGCGCCCCAGTCACGTGGTGCAGGCGCGGCGGGTGAGCGATCGGGGGCGGCGGGGGGGGACGGGGACACGAGGGGGTCCCGTGGGAAGGAGTGAGTCAGAGGGGGATTGGATCCCCCCCGACCGGGCCTCATTTACCTCAGGTTGGCAGCGCCTTTTTTTGCCGTTTTTCCATGGTTTTTACCCCAAAAAAGTGGGCGGGGGGGATAATTGGGGGGGTACCGAGGCCTGGATTGGGGGGTGCAGTCAGGGAGCAGCTTCAGGCCACGAGTGGCCGATTTCGGGTGACCCGAATCATCCCGATTTCTCCTTAATTTTATGGGAGCAGCAACAATTTGGGGGTCTCACCTCCCCTTCCCCCTCCTTTTTTTTTCCTTTTCAGGACCTCTTCCTAAAGCAACAGTTTGGAGTCTCTCACTCCCCGCACCCCATTTTTTTCCCCTCAGGACCCTCCTAAGCTCAAAGCCAACGACTCCCCCCCCATGGAGAACAACCAACCAGGGCAACAAGACCCCCAAGAAGCCACCACCAGCAATCCCACAGTGAGTTCACCCCGAGATTTTAAGGGGGGTGCTGAACCCTCCCAAATTTGGTGGGGGGACAAGGGCGAGCAGCACTTTGGCCACCAGTGAAAGAGAGGATGAGGAAGAGAAGGGTGAAATTTCCAGCCTTGCGGGGGAAAACCAGACCTAAACTGGCATTTTTTAGAGGAAAAATGAGCTGTCCCATATAAATAATATTTTTTATAATTAGTTTTTATCCTGAAGAGGAAACAACATTTAGATTTTGTGGCGCTGGATCCCCCTCCCTCCTCAGCGGCTTTTTCTTCCACCCCCCAAAAAAAGCACCTCAAAATAGTTGAGCCGTTAAAACCCAGCATCTGTCACAAGAGTTTAAATGAATCGAGAGAAGAATCACCACCAAAAAAAACCCTAAAAAAGAATCAAAGGCCGGACTTGGGAGCCAAGCAGCTGCTTTGCCCAAAAATAGCAACAAGTTTTATAACTCCGGAAAATGTAGAACAAACAAACGGGGCACATTTTTAGCTGAGAAAGGCGGTGGCGGTGGGAGGGAGGGAGGAGGAATTCCTGCCCCTCTGTTTTCCTGGAAGCTGTTCCTCGTGTTCTTGCCTGGATCCAGAGCTTTGACCAACTTGGCCACCGTCCCGGGGTGACAAAAGCGAGCCCAGAGCTGCTTGAATCGCCAGGCAGGGGGTGGGGAACTGCTGCTCGGCCTCAGTTTCCCCAAATTTCCCCCCTCCCGTGTCCCACAGGAGGATCTGGGTCCCGAGGATGGATCTGAGCAGGAGAAGTCAGTGGGGGAAGGGGAGAAGGAGAAGGAGGAGGAGGAGGCTTTTCTGGTCAGTCTCTACAAGTTCATGAAGGACCGACACACCCCCATTGAGAGGATCCCGCACCTCGGCTTCAAGCAGAGTATGGACTCCCCAAATCCCCTGGGGACAGGGAGACCCCCCATGTCCCCCTGACCCTCGGCCTCTCCTCTTTATTGCCAGTTAACCTCTGGAAGATCTACAAAGCTGTGGAGAAGTTGGGAGCCTATGAGCTGGTAAGTGGTGTCTGGAGGTGCTGGTGTCCAGTGGGTGTCAGGGTGTCCCCTGACTGTAGGAGTGTCCCCTGGGTGCCAGGATGTCCCCGGGTGTCAGGATGTCTCCTGGGCATTGGGATGTCCCCTGGGTACCAGGCTGTCCCCTGAGCACCCGGTGGCACCCCTCCCTCCCCGTGCAGGTGACAGGGCGCCGGCTCTGGAAGAACGTGTACGATGAGCTCGGGGGGAGCCCTGGCAGCACCAGCGCTGCCACCTGCACCCGGCGCCACTACGAGAGGTGGGCACACAAGGGGGATTGGGGGGGTGTCTATCCCTTCCTGGGCCTCAGCTCTCCCTCTCAGGGCCAGTTCTCACTGTGGCCCCCCCCCCCGCCCACAGGCTGGTCCTTCCCTACGTGCGGCACCTCAAGGGGGAGGAGGACAAGCCGCTGCCCCCCAGCAAACCTCGCAAGCAGTACAAGGGCTCCAAGGATGACAAGAGCAAGAGGGCCAGGAAGGAGAAGGGCAGGGAGCAGGTGTGTGGCTCCTCTGGAAGTTTTGGGAACAGCCTCGGACCCCCATGTCCATCCCTCACCCACTGGGGTGAGGCGCAGGGAAGAGCAAGGAGGAATGTGGATTACTGGGAAAAGGGAGTGGAGGGTGGTTGGAAAAAGGGAGTGGAAAAGGGGGAATGAAGTTGGGGGATCCAGGAGCCCATCCCGGGATGCAGCACCCACCTCCCAGTAACTCCCTCTGCCTGCAGATGCCTCTGGACAAGGTGAAAACGGAGGTGGCAGCTGGCACCGAGGACACCCGGGACATCCCAGAGCGGGGCCGGGTGGCCCAGGGATCCATCCCAGCAATGCCACCCCACTGCTCCAGCTTGGCAATCCCGACCCCCAGCCCCTCGGAGGGGCGTCCCAGCCCCTGCCAGACCCATAGTGAGACCTACAAGTGCCTTTTCTCCAGCTTCTACTCCAAAGGGAACCACCCCATCATGTCCCCGCTAGCCAAGAAGAAGCTGCTGGCCCAGGTGAGCGAGGCTGAGTCCCGGCGCTGCCACAAACGCCACTGCCTCGAGGGCCGGTGGGCACCAAGCACTGCCACCACCAGTCACAACCCGCCCCGGCCGGCCCCGGAGAGGAGCCCAGAGCCCTCGGGAGCTCAGGATACAGTTCCAAGCATCAGGAATGAGGTGGGACCCTCCACCAGCGCATCCCCCGGGGGCACAGACACCCAGGGGTGCCCCCGGGCCGAGAATGGGGGTCCGGCACCTGCTGTGTTCACCGGCTACTTCCATGCCTACCGCAGCGAGGGGCTCCCGCCCAGTGCCCCCCATCCGCTCTGGGGGTACTTCTCCAACCTGAAGGATTTTTTGGAGCCGCCTCCTGCCTTCCCAGAGTCAGAGCAGCCCCAGGACCTGCGGAGCAAAGTGTGGGAGAGCCAGGGGGCTGCCGTGCAGGCCTGGGTGCCCCCCAGACCCAGACCCGCTGCCAGGGCCAGGCATGGCCATGAGGAGGAGGAGGAGGATGACGAGGAGCCCTTTGGCCCCAAATTCGGCGCCATGTCCCCCTTCCCCAGGGAGGCCGAGGGCAGGGACATGGGCTCCAGCCCCCCAGGGGGCCACCGCGGGCTGGCCAAGCCCAAGGCCGTGGTGGCCAGTCCCAGCTTTGCTGCACTACACTTCCCGCCAACCTTCGGGAGCCCCCTGGAGCACCTCAAAACTCAGGGTGTGCCTGTGGCCCCTGCGCTCTCTGCCAACCCCTTTGTCATCCCGGCCTTTCCCAGCCCCTTGGTGGTGGGCTCCACGCAGCCCCCGGAGCTGTGCCGGCCGCTGGGCACCGGCCCCAGGCACTACCCCAATTCCTACAGGAATTCCCTGCGCCACCGGTCCTACCCATGGCACAGCCACCATTCCTATGGCTCCCAGCACATGCCAGCCTTCCACCGCCACACCAAGCTGTAGGAATTCCATCCCAGCCAGCAGCATTCCCTCTGGAGGAGGGAGAAGCCAGGATGCCCCACCGGGAAGTGCCAGGGCCATCACTGCTTCAGGGCTGAGAGGGGACAGTCTGGACCGAGTAATTTTTACTCTTTACTCTTGATCTTGAGCTGTTTGTATCCAACCTTGTTATGGTGGTGACTTAATTACATATCACATAGTTCTATATATATTTTATATACACACCTATAAAAAGGGAGCAAAATGAGTGCTGGAGGTTTGTGTTTTGCCCGGGCTGAGCCAGTTGATGGTCATTCTCATCCCTCCTTGCCTGGATTTTTGGAGACTCCCCAGGCCCCCTGTGACCAGTGACAGGACCCTGGAACGGCTGGAGTTGTGCCAGGCAGGGTTAGGTTGGATATCAGGAAAAAGTTCTTCCCCCAGAGGGTGGGTGGGCACTGAAGAGGCTCCCCAGGGCAGTGGTCACAGCCCCAAGGCTGCCAGAGCTCAAGGAGTGTTTGGACAATGCTCTCAGGGGCAGGGTGGGATTGCTGGTGTGTCTGTGCAGGGCCCGGAGATGGATGGATGATCCTGCTCATGATTCCCTGATTCTGTAAGGGAGGTAGAGGAGGAGCTGCACCCCTGCTCCCAGGACCTACAATGTAGATCCTTCCCTGGATCCATTCCTATTTTGTCCCTCTGTTTCTCTACAACTCCAGAAATCCACCCTCACCCCAAGTTCCCCCCAGCTGCCTCTGGAGGGGCTGTGGCCGCAAACTCAGCACAGAAGAATAAAAAAGGAAATTTTTATTAAACAATAACAAACCCAGAAAAACATCACCCCTCTGCCCAGGGGGCTGCTCCTTTCCCACCCCTCAGCCTTCCTGTGGGTCCCTGGGGTCCCTGCGGCTGGTAGGTGATGCTGGAGGAGCTGTCCAGCCTGAGGATGCACACTAAGTGTCTGTTGGCTTGAGGCTCCCTGGGGTGGATGATGGTGCTGCCGTTGTCCACCATGGGGGGAGCCCTCCCCAGGGTCTCCAGGGGCCCCAGGACGTGGCTCTTGGCTAGGCTGACCCCCTCCCTGAGGTGTCCCAGGGCCCTGTCACCCTTCCCTATGGTCAGGAGGAGCATCCTGGAGGGGCTTTGCAGGGCAGGTCCCACCTTGGGGTGCACCAGGGTGGCAAAGGGGAGGGCACCAGTGGAGGAGGAGGAGGAGGAACAGAAGGAGGAGGAAGGCTGGATGCCCAGAAGTGTGAGGGGCATGGCAGGAGCCTCACTCATCCCAGGCTTGGTGAGAGCTGAGAGCCTGGCGGCTGACATGACGTAGAGGGTCTTCATGGGGCTGGTGGCAGTCACTGTGGAGAAGGGGAGAGGAT